CTGTTGTTGAGTGAATCTAAACTAATGTCTCAGTACAATACCTGCTGTTGTTGAGTGAATCTAAAGTAATGTCTCAATACCTGCTGTTGTTGAGTGAATCTAAACTAATGTCTCAATATCTGCTGTTGTTGAGTGAATCTAAACTAATGTCTCAATATCTGCTGTTGTTGAGTGAATCTAAACTAATGTCTCAATATCTGCTGTTGTTGAGTGAATCTAAACTAATGTCTCAATATCTGCTGTTGTTGAGCGAATCTAAACTAATGTCTCAATACCTGCTGTTGTTGAGTGAATCTAAACTAATGTCTCAATATCTGCTGTTGTTGAGCGAATCTAAACTAATGTCTCAATACAATACCTGCTATTGTTGAGTGAATCTAAATTAATGTCTCAATATCTGCTGTTGTTGAGTGAATCTAAACTAAAGTCTCAATACAATACCTGCTGTTCTTGAGTGAATCTAAACTAATGTCTCAATATCTGCTGTTGTTGAGTGAATCTAAACTAATGTCTCAATATCTGCTGTTGTTGAGTGAATCTAAACTAATGTCTCAATATCTGCTGTTGTTGAACGAATCTAAACTAATGTCTCAATATCTGCTGTTGTTGAGTGAATCTAAACTAATGTCTAAATATCTGCTGTTGTTGAGTGAATCTAAACTTATGTCTCAATAGCTGCTGTTGTTGAGCGAATCTAAAGTAATGTCTCAATATCTGCTGTTGTTGATTGAATCTAAACTAATGTCTCAATACCTGCTGCTGTTGAGTGAATCTAAACTATTGTCTCAATACAATACCTGCTGTTGTTGAGCGAATCTAGCCTAATGTCCCAATATCTGCTGTTGTTGAGTGAATCTAAACTAATGTCTCAATACAATACCTGCTGTTGTTGAGTGAATCTAAACTAATGTCTCAATACAATACCTGCTGTTGTTGAGCGAATCTAAACTAATGTCTCAATACAATACCTGCTATTGTTGAGTGAATCTAAATTAATGTCTCAATATCTGCTGTTGTTGAGTGAATCTAAACTAAAGTCTCAATACAATACCTGCTGTTCTTGAGTGAATCTAAACTAATGTCTCAATATCTGCTGTTGTTGAGTGAATCTAAACTAATGTCTCAATATCTGCTGTTGTTGAGTGAATCTAAACTAATGTCTCAATATCTGCTGTTGTTGAACGAATCTAAACTAATGTCTCAATATCTGCTGTTGTTGAGTGAATCTAAACTAATGTCTAAATATCTGCTGTTGTTGAGTGAATCTAAACTTATGTCTCAATAGCTGCTGTTGTTGAGCGAATCTAAAGTAATGTCTCAATATCTGCTGTTGTTGATTGAATCTAAACTAATGTCTCAATACCTGCTGCTGTTGAGTGAATCTAAACTATTGTCTCAATACAATACCTGCTGTTGTTGAGCGAATCTAGCCTAATGTCCCAATATCTGCTGTTGTTGAGTGAATCTAAACTAATGTCTCAATACAATACCTGCTGTTGTTGAGTGAATCTAAACTAATGTCTCAATATCTGCTGCTGTTGAGTGAATCTAAACTAATGTCTCAATACAATACCTGCTGTTGTTGAGTGAATCTAAACTAATGTCTCAATACAATACCTGCTGTTGTTGAGTGAATCTAAACTAATGTCTCAATATCTGCTGTTGTTGAGCGAATCTAAACTAATGGCTCAATATTTGCTGTTGTTGAGCGAATCTAAACTAATGTCTCAATAAAATACCTGCTGTTGTTGAGTGAATGTAAACTAATGTCTCAATACAATACGTGCTGTTGTTGAGCGAATCTAAACTAATGTCTCAATATTTGCTGTTGTTGAGTGAATCTAAACTAATGTCTCAATACCTGCTGCTGTTGAGTGAATCTAAACTAATGTCTCAATACAATACCTGCTGTTGTTGAGTGAATCTAAACTAATGTCTCAATATCTGCTGTTGTTGAGTGAATCTAAACTAATGTCTCAATATCTGCTGTTGTTGAGTGAATCTAAACTATTGTCTCAATATCTGCTGTTGTTGAGTGAATCTAAACTAATGTCTCAATATCTGCTGTTGTTGAGTGAATCTAAACTAATGTCTCAATATCTGCTGTTGTTGAGTGAATCTAAACTAATGTCTCAATATCTGCTGTTGTTGAGTGAATCTAAACTAATGTCTCAATACCTGCTGCACGTACGCACGCTCACGGACGCACGCACACACACGCACGCACGCACGCACGCACGCACACACACACACACACACACACACACACACCACTATATCACTGGCCTCAGACAGAGACAATTGCAGACCATAACATCTGGTGTATGTTTAAATGCAATTTGCAATACCATCATGGAAAACTGTAAAGCGACATTAAACATTTTCATTATAAACTCAAGGGCAAAATAACTATACAAAGTCTGATTTCATGCATGTGAAACTGTAAAGAATTAAATTTTTAAAAAGTTTTAATTAAAATCATGTTATTATAGTTCATGAATTTTTAAAAGCAATCCTCTGAAACTGCAGTACAGGATTCCAAATATGGACACAGTAGGCTACACATCATGCAGCTGTGTTCGGCCGATGAGTGAGCTGGTTTAACGCCTCTTTGAGTGAGTGAGTGAGTGAGTGAGTGAGTGAATGAGTTTACTTTAGTTTTACGCCGCTTTAGTAACATCACGTGGACACCAGATAAGGGCTTCACACATTGCACCCATGTGGGGAATCGAACCAGGGTCTTCGGCGTGACGAGCGAAGGTTGTAACCACAAGGCCACCCTACTGCCCGTAACGCCTCAATGAACAGTATGCCCTTTTATTACCCACGTGGTCAACGTATGGGTAGTTGCATACTAATCTCGTACGTCACACGAGTGTCGTATCGCGTTGACCTGTGTCGTAACGACTTGACCTGAGATTCTAACGATTTGATTGGATAACCGTTGACCTCTCAATTAGGTCACATTCTGTTTTTCATTCTTAACAAACACGTGAATTCATTCATTCTACAACTTAAATGCATTGTGGGAATGTAAACATTGCGAACGTTGCCGTGTCGAACTGAGACATACCCGTCGAAAAACATAAACGCAATGTTTCCACCAGTGATGTTAGCCGAATGAAGCAACTGCAAACCAAGAAACGCGGTGCTACGGCGTAGGTTACTGTAGGAGGCTGTACGTGGCGATGACAACTGACATGCATCGTGACGTCGGTTACCAAGGCAGTGACGTCATTACAGTGTGACGTCATGCAAATATTGTACTACAGTACAAACTCTTCCGCAAGCTCTTTATGAAACCGGTTTCGGTTTGAAACCATAAAAATAACAAAAATACGCTACTTTGTCAATTTAATGCATGTAAGAAGTGGGTAATAAATAAAATACCACACTCGGTCACATTACATACGAATTATACGAAACTCGTGACCTTCCTATGGTATTCGCTCGGTCAGATACCATAGGAAGGACACTCGTTTCGTATAATTCGTATGTAATGAGACCTCGTGTAGTATTCTCTATTTATCAAGCGCATCAGTAACTCAACCTGCACTGCGAAATAGGGCACTTGCCAATCCATTGTGTTCCTTTTGAACACGAAGCTGACATGCATGATTTCTCCCATTCAATGTCTGTCTAAACAAACCTGTTAGAGAATATATCTTTTTCATTCACTAGACTGGGGCTCCGTGGTGTAGTGGTTAGAGCGTCCGCCCGGAGAGCGGAAGGTCGCGGGTTCGATCACCGACCGCGTCATACCGAAAGACGTTAAAATATGGTACTTGTTGGTCCCTGCCTGGAGCTCGGCATTAATTGGTACAACAAGGACTGGTCGGCTCGGAGTCAGTATAATGTGTCTGAGTGGGGTATTCATGCTTCACTGCGGCATGGTATCTCAGTGGGCTAGCACTATAAAACCAGCTTCAGTCTGGGCTAGTACAAGCAGCCGCACATACACATACACACGCCTGCACGTTGTCATATGAGCGAAATATTCTCAAGCACGACGTTAAACCCCATTTCACCTCACCTCACTAGACTGCTGAATGTGTGAAATGACCTCTAGTCGTTCTATCTTTGAAATTCTCTCACAACTGAGAAACACAGGTTTTGAGAAAGGTTTGTGTGGGGAGTTGCACCAGCTCATTTTCACCTGGGACCAAATGGATCCACCTCAGAGGCGGATCCAGAGGGGTGGGGTGGGGGTGGGGTGTGTGTGGGGGTGCGCACCCTCCCTTTGTCCAGAAAGTTTGTTATATGACCATTGAAACTCGGGCGGAAATGAAGTGTGCAAACCCCCCTTCTCAAAAAGCTGTATTCGCCCCTGCACCTGTGCTTTAATAAACTATCAGGACAAAAGAGGAGTGCATGCCCCCTCTGGACCCGCTTATGCTGTGAGTCTGAAAACACGTCCCTAATGTGACTCAACCCAAAGTACTAGCCTGTACTTTACTGAGAAAGTGTAACCCTAGCTATAACATGTGTTACATTTGACCACTTTCTAAATGGTATTGTGTATGGATAACACAGATATACCTTAAAGTATCGGTTTAAAGCAACTAGTAGTGTTCTCAGGTTTCGTTCAATCATACTTACGATTATGCAAGACTCGATTTACAAATCACTTTACCTGTCAAACCAAGAGCAACCTTGAATACTGATGTAAAATGTTTTTTTATGATTTGAATAGACAAGTATTGCTTTCATCTCTAGCGCGTTATTAATTTTAATACGAGTGCAGTTATTGAAGTTGCAATGAAAAGTTCGATGAAAAGACTCACCAGAGTCCAGCCTACTCTTAATTGTTATGGTCTCTGTACACACAGAACGTAAAACCAAGTGGTTGCTGATTGTGTTTATACACACACGTTTGAAATTGTTGCCATGGTCGCATCACGTGTCTTTGGTGACAATTTGTCGTGTATAATGCTCTATCACAGTTTCTCTACCAATCACAATCCGTATCGACAAATGGTGCGAGGCCAACAATTGGTTCCCCGGTATACCGCGATCTGCCGGCAGAAGCGGCGCAGATTTACCTCCAGCATTATTTGATCAGACTGGACTCGGTCCGAACATGGCTGGCGACGTGAGGGTGAGTTCTTAGGATTAATTAAATAGATGTCAGCCGGTTTTAATGAAGTACGCTGATTGTGCTAGTCGGCGTTTCTATCTGGACATGTGAGCTCGATGGCATGTTTTTTAAATGACAGTCCTATTCGATTTTCTCCACGCTCGTTGGGGCGTTGTTTATTTCGTAACAGGGGGCATCTCAAAATCTGTTTTTCACATTACATGGGGATTGTATATATAATGATATATCCAGATCAATGTATTTCACATTATCACGATCAGCCAGACTGCCTGTCTGTCTGTCTGTCTGCCAATTCAGCTCAGAGTATTAGGCCACCCACCAATAATACAGATACATAATTTAAATCAAATCTTCCAAGGGTATTTAGAAGTGGAATGTCTAAGAAAAGCAAGATTTATGGATGTCAGCTTCTTTATTGTAAATAACACCACGTTTCAGAGTCAGGAAGGAGCAAGCATACACTCCGAAAGCTGTTATTCATAACAAAGAAGTTGACATCCATAAATCTTGCTTTTCTTATCATGAAACATGTTGAAACAACCATTGAGCACCAGTACAATGAATGGAACTATACATCAATTGTAATATTTTAATATTTAATATCTTCAAACAAAGAAATATGTATTTGGCAAGGTTGTTATTAGATTTAAACAGAATATGCATTGTCTGTGGTGAGTGATTTTCACAAATATATTTAGGTAATTTTTCAGATCTTAAACTATCATAAAAGAACATTCAAACATGAAGTGATACTTGTTTTCCTGTCTGGGTATAATACATACAGGGCACAGCCTTTTTAATGCTGAACTATTTTGTTTTCTACCTTCTTCAGTGATTAATCCATGATGTAGAGGGTAATGTCCGAGTAACTCTCCATTCCTTAAAAATAATGGAGCCGAGGCCCCTACCCTACTTAAATTACATTTGAAGTATTGGGAATATTTCTGTTATCAAAGTTATATGACAAAATGAAGTCTTTAATTTGAAGCTGGTTCACATCGCTCCATTCCTGAAAAGTAATGGAGCGAGCAGACAATGGAATGACATCACAAATATTATTTAATGCTACATCTAAGCCTACAAAATGCAATTCTATACACTTTCACCTTATAAGTGATAAATACAGCTTGGATGACAGATAGTTTGCCTGTCTGCATCTATCTGCCTGTCTGTCTGCATCTATCTGTCTGTCTGCCTGTTTATCTGTCTGCATCTATTTGTCTGCCTGTCTGCTGTCTGTCTGCTGTCTGTCTGCATCTATCTGTCTGTCTGCCAGTCTGCATCTATCTGTCTGCTGCCAGTCTGCATCTATCTGTCTATCTGCCTGTCTATTTGTCTGCATCTATTTGTCTGTCTGCCTGCTGTCTGTCTGCATCTGTCTGTCTGTCTGCCTGTCTATTTGTCTGCATCTATTTGTCTGCCTGTCTGCCTGTCTGCTGTCTGTCCTCATCTATCTGTCTGTCTGCCTGTCTGCATCTGTCTGTATGTCAATTAGGTAACAAATACAATATAAAGTCAGCAGTTTATGTATTATTCAGTATTCTCAGTGAACAACAACAAACAAAATTGTGACATGTTTTGACCATGATGGCAGTGATAATTCATCAGGCAGTAATGACAAACTAAGTATATAAGATTGTTGACTGTTGCTCTACCTGGATATATTCTGATGGGCATATCTCGCTTTGATAAAGATTTACACCCAAATGCAAACAGCACCATTTCAAACTAAGTCATGAATATTCAATTGTGCTTGTAAATAATTAATTGAATTCATGAAAGGATGCCATTCAGTTCACAGAATACACCATGCTATCAATCTATACAAAGTCAGAGTGTTCTAAATGTGGCTGAGAGTGAGGCTACAATCGTTATTGAATTAAATCACTCTCAATGTGTCATGTAAAATACCCCTGAATTTAAGAAATTTAGAACTTTGAAAACATCCCAATTTTGGACCAAATTAATGCTAAAGGCACAATGTCACACCACATTTCTCTAAAAATACATAATGGATTTCTCTCAATAATACCTAATTTCAGGCAAGATGTAAGTGATAATAAGTCTTTTTCTTCATCAATAGGAAGCTAAAGTGAGTGCATATGCCCCCAATATATAAAATGTAGGCCAAAATATTGTCAGAAATGTGTGACATTGTGCCTTTTAATTCCTGATTTGGTTGCCAACAGCACTTAGTATAGGAGATCAGTCCCTGAACCTGTCCTTCACACACTCAAATACAACGAAACAAACATCTATGACAGACTTTTTAAAGAAATAAATGTGCTTCATGGGAAATGTGAAGTTATTGTCTGAGTGTAACCAAAATGTCCGGATAAACGGGGTTCAACTGTAGTTGAGTTTATACATGTCCATACCGTGATGACTATTTTCAATGTGTCAAGCCAGCCATCTCAAATGACTTAAGTCGCTTCACTGATAATACTCAGGTGATTTGCATATATTTCTAAAGTAGTTCAGTGTATATGATAAAATGTTTTTTGAGCTTGAGAAACAACTCCCCACGGTATCCATGTGTTAAGTTGTATGTGTTCATCCTGTTCTACATTTATTCCCAAGTTGAGTCTGTAAAAGGACTAGGCATGAAACCAACAAACAAGGAAATGTGCAATCAACTATTGTATTCAGAAATTAACCAAGTTCAGAAATCACTACAAAGGTATTACTATGGCAGATCAAAACAGAGTGGGGGCGGTGGTGTAGCCTAGTGGTTAAAGCGTTGGTTCGTCACGCCGAAGACCCGGGTTCGAATCCCCACATGGGTACAATGTGTGAAGCCCATTTCTGGTGTTCCCCGCCGTGATGTTGCTGGAATATTGCTAAAAGCGGCGTAAAACCAAACTCAGTCACTCACTCTAAAATAAATTTAAAAACAGAGTGACAGCTGCAATATCCCAGCAATATCATGGTGGGAGAAATCAGAAATGGGGGTAAGAGTTCCTTACGTATCCCCCACTTAAGTTTTAACTATAAACTATATACTATAGTCTGTTTGCAGTGAAAACGTACCGATGAATTTCACTTTAATCAAAAACGTAAATCAAATAAAGTGAAATTAGAAGTACGAATGATTTTACCTTGCCAATTGAACGTTCAAATCTCAGAATTTTATTCAACTTAGGATAAAAGTTGTTTAACAAACGATCATAGTTTCAAATCGCTATTGTTGGTTTGTATTACAAGGGGGTATGCACATTAAATGAAACACCGAGAAGAAGTAGGGTTGGTCTAAGTTAACGCTCATCACGTACTGCACATGCATTTGTATCACTGTTCCAATTACTGCGTTTACTCCCTTGTAATACAAACCAATAATAGTGATTTGAATCTATGATCATCTGTTAAACAACGTTTATCCTAAGTTGAATAAAATTCTGAAATTTATATGTTTAATTGGCAAGGTAAAATTATGAGGATTCGCAATCTTAATTTCACTTTATTTGATTTACTTTTTTGTTTAAAGTGAAATTCATCGGTACGTTTTCACTGCAAACAGACTATAAACTTTAGTGTTTGCTCATCACAAAAATAGGCGGGGGATACGAAAGGAACTCTTTCCAAAATGGGTTTCACACATTGTCACACTGGGGAATTGAACCGGGGCCTTTGACATGATGAGCAAAAGCTTTAACCACTAGTCAACCCTACTGCCCATGTAAATTAGAAGTACTTTTTCCAATATTATTCGAAGACTTTTGTGATCAGAATGACCATCAGTTAACAAAAGATCTTGGCACTTCTTTCAAATCTGTATAATGTTTTCAAGAAAATGTATGAAACTTTATGTTGTAACTACCTACTGCTCAACACCTGAGGATTGAACCCATCTACAATCTACTAATCTATCTGAGGGCTGTTGTGAAGTGATGATTGTTACCATACCATGTGATAACATATCATTCGCAGCAGTAAACATTCAACACCTTTCTGAGACCTGTGAAGATCCGGGTTAGAATTGATCTTCAGTAACCCATGCTTGTCGTAAGAGGCGACTAACGGGATCGGGTGGTCAAGTTGCGATGATAATATGTCAGTTGTTAGAATCTGTTAATGTACCAGGCCAGTCTTGAACTCTAAATCAAATATGCCCCATAAAATCATAGGTTATGGATTGTAGCCTTAATGAATTAGGAAACATAAAGATAGGGTCAAATCAGGCCGTTGCTATCCGTTGATGGTTGTTCACACAATACGTCAGGCTGCTGTTGTTTGTTGAGGGCTGTGCAAACAACACCCCAGATGGCTGTTTATCAGCTCAACACACAACACACGCTCCCAAATGCTTGTCTAGGTTGTGGACCTTGTGGATCCAGCAATCGCTCATTAACATCTCAATGTCATACATGACAAGGACCGGTCCGGGTTATATTTGATCTTCAATAACCCATGCTTGTTGTAAGAAGCGACTAACAGGATCTGATGGTCAGGCTCGTTGACTTGGTTGACACATGTCATCGGTTCCCAATTGCGTAGATCGATGGTCATGCTGTTGATCACTGGATTGTCTGGTCCAGATTCGATTATTTACAGACCGCTGCCATGTAGCTGTAATATTGCTGAGTGTGGCGTAAAAAAACCCAAACAAGCCAACCAACCAACCTATATGGGTACATTGTGAGATTGCTGGATTGTGAACCTCTCACACTCACTGCAGCAGACTTTCACATGTCCAGTGAAATTGTCTTTTCTGATGTGTGCAAAAACACCAACTGTCCACTCAAATGGTGTCTCAAATTTCCTCGGCAGGAACTAACGTCATAGGTATTGAGACCATGGTTCCTGAAATACTATCCGTCAAAATATCAGATTAAAATTGGTTTTCAGTAATCTATGTGTCTCATGAAAGGTGATTGTTTGGTCAGGTTCCCTTGCTTGTCATCACAGGGGCGTGTCACGCTTAGAAACAACATTAGAAAGACATATAGGTATATAGACCCTACCCTAGTACTATATAAAAGGAAAGGGATGTAACGACGGAACCACCCCCTCCTCGATCAAAGTTAGATTTCACCATGTAAACTATTTTTAAGGCCCCGTCGAGGCCTACGGGTCGAAAGCCAGATGATTTCCCTACAAAATAAGCTATAAATGGTCACAATCGGATCATTATTTCAAAAGTTATACGCCATGACTCACCGAAAACAGCTACCTTCGCAATTCCAAGCCAAAATCATGGATTACCCAAGACAGCGAAAACTCACCTTTTAAATTCGTTTATTAATTCCAGCCATGTTGACAGCATCTATGTAGGGCTAGATTCGATTGGCAGCGGCATTCCAAGGGTCTAAAAACCTATTGCAACATCTACAAATCATTTCCTCGACAGTAAGCAGGCATTTTCGCCAAAACCATCGGCAATCATACTCACTTGTCGGCCATAGATGGCCTTGACATTCAAGTGATCTGAGCAGATCCGCAGAAACTGAATGGGGCCATCCGATTTGTGGAAAATATAATATACTGTAAGATTTTGACTGGGCGCGAAATATGAACTTTGCAATATTCCTTCTATTTTGGATGATGTACTGAACAGTAAATTGTTAAGAATAATTTTAGAGGTTGTAAAAATGCATTCGATATTGATTGATTTTTAGGAAATTATATTTATAAATATTGAACCTTTAAAAGTATTCTTACCAATTTACTGCTCAGGTCACTTAAATGTCAAGGCCATCTATGGCCGACAAGTGAGTATGATTACCGGTGGTTTTGGAGATAATGCCTGCTTACTGTCGAGGAAATGATTTGTAGATGTTGCAATAAGTTTTAGACCCATGGAATGCCGCTGCCGATTGAATCTAGCCCTACATAGATGCTGTCAACATGGCTGGAATTAATAAACGAATTTAAAAGGTGAGTTTTCGATGTCTTGGGTGATCCATGATTTTGGCTTGGAATTGCGAAGGTAGCTGTTTTCGGTGAGTCATGGCATATAACTTTTGAAATAATGATCCGATTGTGACCATTTATAGCTCATTTTGTAGGGAAATCATCTGACTTTCGATCCGTAGGCCTCGACGGGGCCTTAAAAATAGTTTACATGGTGAAATCTAACTTTGATCCAGGAGGGGGTGGTTCCGTCGTTACATCCCTTTCCTTTTATATAGTACTAGGGTAGGGTCAATATACCTATATGTCTTTCTAATGCTGTTTCTAAGCGTGGCACGCCGCCCCTGTGCTTGTCATTATATCCTACTTGTGTTGATCGATGCTCATGATGTCAGTCACTGTATTGTCTGGTCTGGATTTAGTTATTTACTGGCTGTCCTCATATAGCTGGAACATTGCTGAGTTTGGCATTAAACAAACAAACAAACAAACAAGGCAAAGCCAACCAACCAAACCTGAAATGCAAATATTCTGGTTTTCAACAGGTCCCTGCAAACATGCACTCTTATCCTTCTGGATCTTGTCTACCAGTTTTAGATCTAGTTGGAGCTATAGAATTCTATTGTCTTTGTTTGTTTAATGCCCCACTCAGCAATATTCCAGATATGTGATAGCCATCTTAAAATATTTTAGCCTGGACCAGACCATCCAGTGATTGACATCATGACCATGACCCATGCAATTAAGATGCATTATGATGCAATGACACCTATCGACCAAGTCAGCGAGCCTGACCACCCGATCTCCATCAGCTGCTGGAGACCAAGTTTAACCCAGATCTTCACAGAATGATTGCACCGTAACCTTGGTAACATGTATATAATATTTCTTCCACAGTCACTGGGTAAACCAGATTATAAATTCACCAACTGGGCCACGACCTACTCATGTCGTCCAGAACTCTACTTCGAGCCGGAAACAACAGATGAAATCAGACAGGTATGGCATAGTGATTCAGTTTGACGAAATAATAATAATGATAATGTGTGCATCAATAATTCACACTAAAGCATGCATCAAGAGCTACATTACTACCCAGATTCATGGACCAGTGTGCACTCAAATTATACATTCTCTGATCCCTGAGGAGTATACAGCCTTATGTATACAGCCTTATGTAGGGTAGCGTTGTAGTTAAAACTTTCACTCGTCGCTCCGAAGACCCGGGTTTGATTCCCCACATAGGTACAATGTGTGAAGCTCAATTCTGGTGTTCCGTGATATTGATGGAATATTGCTAAAAGCGGCGAATACTAAACTCACTCGCTCACTCACTACAATCTTATGAGCCACTTGAAGGTTAACAGTCACATTACCATGCCATCCCACCGGGTACCCATTCACTGCTTGGCAGAGATTACAATTTGAGCATCACATGTGTGATGTGTCTCAGTATTGGGCAAGGGTAATTTTACTGACCACTTTCTCTCAAACCATTTGTGTTTAGAATATGCCAAATGTTTTGTTTTAAAATGTGTTTTGTCCACAGTCATGGTGTTGGGGTAGACTTGATCAGTGAAGTTGTCGAGCCTGTCCCATTCTAAGCCAGAATCCCCCTCTACCAACATGGGTTGCTGGGGACCCATTCTAACCCAGAATCCCATCTACCAACATGGGTTGCTTGGGACCCATTCTAACCCAGAATCCCATCTACCAACATGGGTTGCTGGGCACCCATTCTAACCCGGAATCCCCTCTACAAGCATGGGTTGCTGGGGACCCATTCTAACCCAGAATCCCCTTTATCGGCATGGTTTGCTTGGGATGATTTCTAAACCAGAATCCCCTCTACCAACATGGGCTGCATGGGAACTAAAGTACTGTCGGAAATAGAAAAAAACTGTTTTTAGCCTGTTACTCTGTATCCCTAAAATTTACACAGTTGCAAATAGCATATGTTGAAATAACCGACTTTGGCCTAACTGGGCGTTCAGTGGGATGCGTAATGCGATATCCAGAAAAGCATGTTTACTCGTAAAATCGGGCAAAACTTAGAAAAAATACGAATAGCTGCTGAAAACAATAGATCAGACTATAGATGGCAATCAGGTCGCTCAGCCAGGTATGATGACGGACCGTCGACCACCCGAAGATCGACAGGACTGGGTATTATTTGTAAATTGTTATGACGTGCCCGTGTACCTCCCCAGTATAATTGCCCTAAAGGATTAGCTGATATCTCTATCCCCCAGCCCGATCCCAGGTTTTGCTTTTGTGACGACCCCTCCTATCTGTTTCTTTTTATGGTGACAGTGAGACTCCATGGTAGCTACATCCTTAATAGTTTCAGCATAAAAGTTATTATTTTTTACGTCAGCTACCGTTTATAATGAATCTACGTCTAATTTCAAATTGGGCATTAAAAAAGTGTCCTTTGTAATACAATATCGTCGCACACTAATTTGCATAAAGTCATGGTCTGTTCCAAATAAGTCCTTTTCGACTTAGAAAAAAACTGCATTGCTCATTTCTGCACTAGTTTCCCCTCAGTAAAGTCATTTTTCTCTGTTTCCTATCTCTCTACCACTGAGACTGTGGTTAGGCCGAAGTTAGTTTGTCAGATATTTCACACTTTCACATATCAACTACATAAATGGTAGAGATATATGAGAAAACACAGTTTTTTTTATTTCCGACAGGACTATAGTCTACCATTACCCAGAATCCCCTCTACCAAAAAGGGTTGCTGGGCACCCATTCTAACCCAGAATCCCCTTTATCGGCATGGTTTGCTGGGGATGTTTTCTAAACCAGAATTCCCCTCCACCAACATGGGTTGCATGGGAACTATTCTAACCCAGAATCCCCTCCATCGGAGTGGGTAGCTGCAGACCCATTCTAACCCAGAATCCCCTCCATCGGAGTGGGTAGCTGCAGACCCATTCTAACCCAGAATCCCTTCTTCAAGCATGGGTAGCTGCAGACCCATTCTAACCCAGAATCCCCTCCATCAGAGTGGGTAGCTGCAGACCCATTCTAACCCAGAATCCCCTCCATCAGAGTGGGTAGCTGCAGACCCATTCTAACCCAGAATCCCCTCCATCGGAGTGGGTAGCTGCAGACCCATTCTAACTCAGAATCCCCCCTATCAGCATGGGATGTTGGGGACCTATGATAACCCTCTATCAGCATGGGATGTTGGGGACCTATGATAACCCACTCTATCAACATGGGATGTTGGGGACCTATGATAACCCCCTCTATCACATGGGATGTTGGGGACCTATATGATAACCCCTCTATCAGCATGGGATGTTGGGGACCTATGATAACCCTCTATCAGCATGGGATGTTGGGGACCTATGATAACCCACTCTATCAGCATGGGATGTTGGGGACCTATGATAACCCCCTCTATCAGCATGGGATGTTGGGGACCTATGATAACCGTCTATCAGCATGGGATGTTGGGGACCTATGATAACCGTCTATCAGCATGGGATGTTGGGGACCTATGATAACCGTCTATCAGCATGGTATGTTGGGGACCTATGATAACCCACTCTATCAGCATGGGATGTTGGGGACCTATGATAACCCCTATCAGCATGGGATGTTGGGGACCTATGGATCAGCATGGGATGTTGGGGACCTATGATAACCCCTCTATCAGCATGGGATGTTGGGGACCTATGATAACCGCTCTATCAGCATGGGATGTTGGGGACCTATGATAACCCACTCTATCATCAACATGGGATGTTGGGGACCTATGATAACCCTCTCTATCAGCATGGGATGTTGGGGACCTATGATAACCCTCTATCAGCATGGGATGTTGGGGACCATGATAACCCTCTATCAGCATGGGATGTTGGGGACCCATGATAACCCTCTATCAGCATGGGATGTTGGGGACCTATGATAACCGCTCTATCAACATGGGATGTTGGGGACCTATGATAACCGCTCTATCAACATGGGATGTTGGGGACCTATGATAACCCCTCTATCAGCATGGGATGTTGGGACCTATGATAACCACTCTATCAGCATGGGATGTTGGGGACCTATGATAACCCCTCTATCAGCATGGGATGTTGGGGACCTATGATAACCCTCTATCAGCATGGGATGTTGGGGACCTATGATAACCCCCTCTATCAGCATGGGATGTTGGGGACCTATGATAACCCCCTCTATCAGCATGGGATGTTGGGGACCTATGATAACCCCCTCTATCAGCATGGGATGTTGGGGACCTATGATAACCCCCTCTATCAGCATGGAATGTTGGGGACCTATGATAACCCCCTCTATCAGCATGGGATGTTGGGGACCTATGATAACCCTCTATCAGCATGGGATGTTGGGGACCTATGATAACCCCTCTATCAGCATGGGATGTTGGGGACCTATGATAACCCCCTCTATCAGCATGGAATGTTGGGGACCTATGATAACCCCCTCTATCAGCATGGAATGTTGGGGACCTATGATAACCCCCTCTATCAGCATGGAATGTTGGGGACCTATGATAACCCCCTCTATCAGCATGGGATGTTGGGGACCTATGATAACCCTCTATCAGCATGGGATGTTGGGGACCTATGATAACCGCTCTATCAGCATGGGATGTTGGGGACCTATGATAACCGTCTATCAGCATGGGATGTTGGGGACCTATGATAACCCTCTATCAGCATGGGATGTTGGGGACCTATGATAACCGTCTATCAGCATGGGATGTTGGGGACCTATGATAACCCTCTATCAGCATGGGATGTTGGGGACCTATGATAACCCTCTATCAGCATGGGATGTTGGGGACCTATGATAACTCACTCTATCAACATGGGATGTTGGGGACCTATGATAACCCACTCTATCAGCATGGGATGTTGGGGACCTATGATAACCGCTCTATCAGCATGGGATGTTGGGGACCTATGATAACCCTCTATCAGCATGGGATGTTGGGGACCTATGATAACCCACTCTATCAGCATGGGATGTTGGGGACCTATGATAACCGTCTATCAGCATGGGATGTTGGGGACCTATGATAACCCTCTATCAGCATGGGATGTTGGGGACCTATGATAACCGTCTATCAACATGGGATGTTGGGGACCTATGATAACCGTCTATCAGCATGGGATGTTGGGGACCTATGATAACCCTCTATCAGCATGGGATGTTGGGGACCTATGATAACCGTCTATCAACATGGGATGTTGGGGACCTATGATAACCGTCTATCAACATGGGATGTTGGGGACCTATGATAACCGTCTATCAGCATGGGATGTTGGGGACCTATGATAACCCTCTATCAGCATGGGATGTTCGGGACCCATGATAACCGTCTATCAGCATGGGATGTTGGGGACCTATGATAACCGTCTATCAACATGGGATGTTGGGGACCTATGATAACCCTCTATCAACATGGGATGTTGGGGACCTATGATAACCCTCTATCAGCATGGGATGTTGGGGACCTATGATAACCCCTCTATCAGCATGGGATGTTGGGGACCTATGATAACCGTCTATCAGCATGGGATGTTGGGGACCTATGATAACCGTCTATCAGCATGGGATGTTGGGGACCTATGATAACCGTCTATCAGCATGGGATGTTGGGGACCTATGATAACCATCTATCAGCATGGGATGTTGGGGACCTATGATAACCCCCTCTATCAGCATGGGATGTTGGGGACCTATGATAACCCTCTATCAGCATGGGATGTTGGGGACCTATGATAACCCCCTGTATCAGCATGGGATGTTGGGGACCTATGATAACCCCCTCTATCAACATGGGATGTTGGGGACCTATGATAACCGTCTATCAGCATGAGATGTTGGGGACCTATGATAACCCTCTATCAGCATGGGATGTTGGGGACCTATGATAACCGTCTATCAGCATGGGATGTTGGGGACCTATGATAACCCTCTATCAGCATGGGATGTTGGGGACCTATGATAACCGTCTATCAGCATGAGATGTTGGGGACCTATGATAACCCTCTATCAGCATGGGATGTTGGGGACCTATGATAACCGATCTATCAGCATGGGATGTTGGGGACCTATGGACCTATGATAATGTTGGGGACCTATGATAACCTATCATCAGCATGGGATGTTGGGGACCTATGATAACCGTCTATCAGCATGGGATGTTGGGGACCTATGATAACCATCTATCAGCATGGGATGTTGGGGACCTATGATAACCCCCTCTATCAGCATGGGATGTTGGGGACCTATGATAACCCCCTCTATCAGCATGGGATGTTGGGGACCTATGATAACCGCCTCTATCAGCATGGGATGTTGGGGACCTATGATAACCGTCTATCAGCATGGGATGTTGGGGACCTATGATAACCGTCTATCAGCATGGGATGTTGGGGACCTATGATAACCATCTATCAGCATGGGATGTTGGGGACCTATGATAACCCCCTCTATCAGCATGGGATGTTGGGGACCTATGATAACCCTCTATCAGCATGGGATGTTGGGGACCTATGATAACCCCCTCTATCAGCATGGGATGTTGGAGACCTATGATAACCGTCTATCAGCATGGGATGTTGGGGATATATGATAACCCTCTATCACTTTGGATAAGCTCAGTTCAACCTGTCAGTGCCATTAATACATTGATCAATACCCAGAAAATTTTCACAACTCATTATGGTCTTTGACCCCTTGAAATCATTTCAGTACAAAACTGAAGTGAACAATAAGGTCAAATTATTTCTCTTTAAACTGCGTTGTTTCAAGAATGAGAAGGGAACATGAACAGTTTTATCATTACATGCTTTGAAGAAAAATATTGAGAGGCAGCATGGAATTTTGAAAATCATAAGATACGTACATTCTGTGTGAACTTCAGTTCAACTGACCAACAGGATGTGTTTGCTTAGCGCTAAGACTATTATAACTCCCATAACTTAACATTTCAAACATAAGTCTCTGCCTAAGATTGCTTTGTGCAAGCGGGTTTGGGGCCCAGTTTGACAAAGAGACCTTAGCACTAACACCATACTTAATACTGACATACACTAGTGTTATCTTTAAGGTTACTTTGTGCAAGTGGGTTCTCATCCAAGTTTGATAAAGTTCCGCTAAATAAATCATAACTCTCATACGCTGACTTTGGACAGTATCAGCATTGAGATTGCTTTGTGCAAGCGGGTTTTGGGCCCAGTTTGACAAAGAGACCTTAGCACTAAGACCATACTTAATACTGACATACACTAGTGTTATCTTTAAGATTACTTTGTGCAAGTGGGTTCTGATCCAAGTTTGATAAAGTTCCGTTTAATAAATCATAACCTTGGACAGTTGCAGCATTAAGATTGCTTTGTGGAACGGGTCCCAGTACAGTTTAAATCTTTGGGGAAAGTATGATTAGCATTGAGTTATTTTCTTTTTATTTCAGATACTGGCCTTTGCACAGGAGAAGGGTAAAAAGGTGAAGGTCGTTGGATATGGCCATTCCCCCTCCGATATTGCCTGTACAACTGACTACATGATCAGCCTTAGTCGCTACAACAAAGTAATGAAGGTGAGCTACAGGGCATAATGGTGACAGTGTTTACTTACTTCACACACAGGTCTGGTTTGAATCCCTTCATCATGTTCATAGATATAGTATGCCAGGCTGGAAGTTTTCTCGTCTAGATAGTAAAACTGAACACAAGTCTAACATAGGTATATGTCAGTGGACTCGTAGGGGTCATTTAGTGGAACGATGACCCCTTCAGTATGACTTACTGCATTTGTTAATGTAAAGTGATAAGATACAAATTTATGAAAGAAAATAGGACATGTGTTTATGAGAGAGTTATTTATGTTTCTGTCAGATAACGGATGGAAGGTTTGAATGTAAAAAAATGCAGATACTGTCTTGATAAGAGATAACTTAGGTGCCTTGCACGTTATGGAGTTCATTCATGATAATTACGCTGATAATTTGCTGGTACTCATCTTGAATGGTGCAGTTTTTATTGTGCTTTGGAACTGATATTGCATCAGTTAGATAATAATAATATTAATAATAATAATAATAATAATAATAATAATAATAATATCATAGAGTTTTCTGTCCCTTTTGACACCAATGTGATTGGCAAGATTAAGGAAAAGCATGATAAATATGCGGACCTCGCCTTTGAAATGTCTCGCTTGCATCCCAAGTACACTGTCGTCAGGCTCCCCATTGTTCTCGGTGCCCTTGGTTTGGTACCTCCTGATCTCTTGGCGCAGATCAAGAGAGTGCCTGGGTTCTCCACCGGGAGTACAGCCCTTCTGACACTCTGGGTAATGCAGAAGGCTGCAGTGTTGGGGAGCCTTCATATTCTCCGGAAAGTTCTTGGTGGGTTCGACTAGGCAGCGTTTCCTGGGAGAAGTCCCATTCGCTGTCTGGGCTGCGTGTAGAGGGGGCAAGGGCCCTGAGCTGATGATGAGCCTTACCAGCCTGACTGTGCCAGGATCACCCGAACCCTCTCTGCTGCATATTATCTTTAATCTGTAAAACATAATAATAATAATAATAATAATAATAATAATAATAGGCCCATATACAGCCTCAGAAGAATTCCAGCCAACAAACCTGATCTTGTCCTTTTTGATAAAGCCAATGAATTTATTTATATCATTGAATTTTCTGTCCCTTTTGACACCAATGTGATTGGCAAGATTCAGGAAAAGCATGATAAATCTCTCGCTTGCATCCCAAGTACACTGTCGCCAGGCTCCCCATTGTTCTCGGTGCCTTTGGTTTGGTACCTCCTGATCTCTTGGCACAGATCAGGAGAGTGCCCGGGTTCTCCACCGGGAGTACAGCCCTTCTGACACTCTGGGTAATGCAGAAGGCTGCAGTGTTAGGGAGCCTTCATATTCTCCGGAAAGTTCTTGGTGGGTTCGACTAGGCAGCGTTTCCTGGGAGAAGTCCCATTCGCTGTCTGGGCTGCGTGTAGAGGGGGCAAGGGCCCTGAGCTGATGATGAGCCTTACCAGCCTGACTGTGCCAGGATCACCCGAACCCTCTTTGCTGCATACAATCTTTAATCTGTAAAACATAATAATAATATGGCCACTTGTATAGCGCTGAACTCGAGTCATGCTGTACACGCTACAACATGATGGGCATTAATTATTACCCCAGATAACCCAAGCTGCGTGTCACGTGCTAGAAGGTTAATAGTCATGTGACTTATCCCACCGGGTACCCAGTTTCTGCTGGGTGAACAAAGGCACTTTTGAACAAACTCACTTGCCTAAGGTGATGTGCTTCATTGTGGGGCAGAACATAAGTCCAAGAAACTCAAAGCTGCCAAACATGGATACCCCTCAGACACAATATACTCTGAGCTGATTTGTCCTTGTTTCAGCTCCTTTATGCAGACTGTCAGTCAGGCAGAGGTACAGATAAGCTGCGTATCTGCGTAAATTACGCAAACATTTATGTGAAAACTCAATTCTTACCAAGCCTGTTGCGTACAAGTACGCTTGAATTTTTGTAAATACTCAATATATTTGATCTTACATGCGTACACACAAAACTGTCAAATCTTTGTTTGCGTACAGGTGCATAGATAAAATAACTGAGGTACATTGAGAGGTTCTATTTCAACACATGAACTTGGCAACTTGCAGTATTTCTTATTGTTTCCCATATTACGGATCCAATATAAATAACATTTAAACGTCATTATATTTTTACAATTAATGGAAAATGATGAAATACCCATTTGAGTTTGAATGAGGTGGGTACAATTTATTCGGTTACTCAAAGGAAAATTAGGATACCCAATTGAGATGAGAGCAAGCGAGTACATAACTCAGTGACCCAAAATGTTATCTGTAGCTGTGCAGTCAGGGTAACAAAAAGTACCTTACTGTAATATATCTAGGGTGGAAATGACTGGGAATCTAACCTCTGATCTTTCAAGATGAACCTTCCTTTCCAAGTTTTGTGTGTTTGTTTACTGTTTAACGCCGCACTCAGCAATATTCCAGCTTTATGGTGGCGGTCTGATAATAATCAAGTCTGGACCAGACAATCCAGTGATCAACAGCATGAGCATTACAGCTGACATATAGTTAACATATAGACATAGACATTTATCTTACCTCACACATAAATGTCGCTTTCTGATTGGCTGAACGCTCTTCTATTATTTTCAATGTACCCCGCTTAGAAGCGAGTAACATTTCAATGTACCCCACTGTCAGTGGCAACTCATTTGGTACCTTGTGGTAGTAATTCTTTATCTCAAATTACATTGAATCACATATGATGTACGGAAATTACCAATGTTTTGCGAATGCAAATCGATGGAAGGGAGACAACTCTAAATCTGTTTTTCTTGTCAGCAAAATCTAGCAATGGCTACAAAAATATTTGTACCCGTGTTCAAACAATTCGAAATTAACATTAAGGTGTTCGGTAGGATAAATACGTTGTTCACTGGTCCCTCGGGGCCCATGGGTTGATGGGCTCAGGGAACATAAACAAACATCGAGGGTACATCAACCCATGCCCCCTTTGTGACCAGTGAACAACTTATAATAGTTAGGAAAGCACGTCATGTGAAGACAGGAGAGACAGGATTTGAGGCTGGGTGTTTTGCATACCGTCAGTCATTTCGCATGTGATATACAGCGATTCTTTGACTTTCAGTGACTTGCAGTCCCACCAATCACTGGCTGAGGTTGATTCATTCTCAAACCAAAATGGCGCCTGAGCAGATGTTTGTTTGACTTCTGAATTATTGATTACAGACATTATTTTTTTTTGGTTTTTGTTTCAGGTGGACAAGGACTCACTCCAGGTGACGGTGCAGGGCGGTTGTCTGGTGCGGGATCTCAACAGAAATATACTGCCCTCACATGGCATGGCCTTCAGTGTGTAAGTCAGACGTGACCTTCAGTATGTAAGTCAGATGTGGCCTTCAGTGTGTAAGTCAGACGTGGCCTTCAGTGTGTAAGTCAGACGTGGCCTTCAGTGTGTAAGTCAGATGTGGCCTTCAGTGTGTAAGTCAGACGTGGCCTTCAGTGTGTAAGTCAGACGTGACCTTCAGTGTGTAAGTCAGACGTGACCTTCAGTGTCTAAGTCAGACGTGGCCTTCAGTGTGTAAGTCAGATGTGACCTTCAGTGTGTGGCCTTCAGTGTCTAAGTCAGACGTGGCCTTCAGTGTGTAAGTCAGACGTGACCTTCAGTGTGTAAGTCAGACTTGGCCTTGGTCTGCAAATTGTAACATGTGTCTTTATCTTTGTATGTTGATTAAGATCACTGTTAGATGGACTCGCAGTCTCAGTTTAAGAATGCCATTGTGTATACTAGTGAAAAGTAGTAAAGATAGTATTAAATATTCATTTTTAGGCCACACAAATGGCATGTCTGAAAAATGGCCCAAATCAAAACTTCCAGCCTCCTCCAGAGGTTCTGTCTTGCTTCGATATTAAAGGACAAGTGTACACGAAAATAATCCTTTTTGTCTTGCACTTTTTCATCTTGAAAAGTGTTTATCAAGTAGTTTTATATCCAAACCCGTACGTATATCAGAAGTAACTAATTTATTTTTTGTGTTATATCAATTCATATTTTCAACATTTACCGAGAGTTCTATGTTCACAATAAACACACCATGGCTTATGTCCTCGGAAATGACGTTATTGGTGCCTAAATGATAAACGAATGACGTCGTTAGACCTTATTAGACCCATTTCACGTGGTGCAGGTATAGGTGTGGTTCTTGTGTCTCGATGCGCAGGCTACTGTTTTAATCCACCTGTTGCCTGGCCATCAGCTGACTATGTGGTCAGTTCTACATTGTAATGACATTGCAGTTTGAAAAAACGGATACATTGTACTAAAAGTGTTACCACGTAACCAAATTGTATAACATTCAATCTGAGTTGGTCGCCTTTTCAACAGTATCTTTCTTCACAAAAACTAAAACGTGCGCTACATCTAGCTTGCCATCGGTGAATGTGCCGGCATTCTACGTTTGTTACTAAAATTCCTTCTTAAATCATACACTATGTCCCTCCTCTTCCACCTTCACTTTGATATCGATACCATATCCAAATACATCACAAAGATAAATGCAATTTGCACTTTTGAACTCTGTTTGAAATTTTCTTTAGTTTAATTAGTTTTTCTATATCATCCGCTCATTGTAGATCAAATATACTGAAAATTACATGCATCGTAAATCTCGCCATTTTTTGACACATTACTACATCACCATTCACTGCGTTTTGCATGTCTTGATTCAAATGTCAAATTTTACTGGGAGAATTGAATTTAAAAGAAAAAGATCAGCGGTAGTTTTGTTGTTGTATGATCGAATCACCAATACTTGTTCTGAAACATAGCCGATGAACCGAGAATTGCGGAGAATGTTTTGGAAAATATGCAAACACAATTAACGTCAAAGTGAATTTTCAGCCATATTACAGAGTGTTTATAAAATCACGTCACATGTTATGTCGGTTATGTTTCACCCATAAAATCAATTGTATAAATTTCAACACTATCTTCCTGACACGAATCCCTGAATTCCTCATACAGTTCAAGATAAACTGACAAATGGAATTTGTCACCAATTCGAAGTGTTTCAGTGAAATTGAACGAAATATATCAGATGCCCGCGCTGGGAAAGGACCACTTGTTTGAAATGTAAACAAAGCCAATCTCAGATTTTAGACTGTGTATTTACTTGTTGCATACACTTGCTCATTTGTTTTAGAACATGCATCGGAAAGGTATTGTAGCAAGCGATAGGTGTATTCGATTGATTTTCTAGATTCCTCACAACATATAATAGTTTCTGAAAGCGTGACGCCATGACTGACGCAATCTCACGCACAACGATGACGGTACCTCTCTTAATTTCTGACTATTTCCCTTGGTCACAATGAAAACAAAAAGAAAATAACAACCAGCAGATTGACAGAATTTTCGGACTACATACATGTCACATTTATGCACATTTGAAAATTTCTTCGAAAACTCCGGCATACTCGTGTCAGTGAACACGCCATTTTGAAAAAGTCGATTCCCGATAGTGATGTCATATGGACGTCAACATTGTTATACATATTTGATATTTTCATTGACGTGAGGTTATGAATAAAAATACAAACGATCAATCTGTCCTGCTGCTTACATTTTCAGTTCTTATGCTTCTTTCGAATTTTCACAAACTTTTTTCACTTGATTAATTTCAGTATTATTATCTTTTGATTTAGGACTAGACAGAAGACCAGTTTAAAATCAAGTGGCACCAATCACGTCATAATCAAAGGGCGGTAACTCTGGCCTGTTTAGCTCGGCAAACAAAGGCCTCATATTGGCGTAACATTTCAGCACTTATTTTGAGGTTTATACTTACATTGTAAGAAAAATGAGTGTAAATTTTCAAACATTGGTATTAACTAATTAAAACAGTTCACTTTGATTCACATAAGAATAAATGTGATTTATTCGTGTACACTTCCCCTTTAAAGTATGACTGTTCTATCAGCTGTTCCTAACACTGTGATGAATCATTGTCAGATTGGGAACAGTGTCGGAGCTGACTGTTGCTGGTGTGATATCAACTGGAACCCATGGCACTGGCGCCAAGTTTGGCACCGTATCTTCATTTGTGAGTAAAATAACTAACAATTTACACATATCACGTCAGGATTTAATCTGTTATACACCACTTCAGCATGGCTTATGATAGACAGGTTGCTGTTCGCTATATGAACTGGGCACATGAGACTAGGGGTGCTGTATCAGACAGAAAACTGTCACTCATTGTGAGGACTGCCTTTGTGGTCAAATGGTAGAACGTCTGCCCGAAGAGTGGAAGGTTGTTGGTTCGATCCTAGTCTTCATCATACCAAAAGATTTTCAGAGATGGTACTTGTTTGGTATTTATTATGCCCCCGCCATATATGGCTCGGGCATATAGGGTTACCCTCGGTGTCCGTCTGTCCGTACGAAACAGGGAATGTATTCTATCCACTTCTCAACCATAACCGCTCTGTGGAATTCAATGAACTCTTGGGACTCTAATGGTGTGCATCTCATAGTTTGTTTTTTTATTTTATTGTTTTTTTTTGTAAGTTTAGAGCCATTTGAGCTTAGGTACATTTTGCTGAATTTCTCTATGATGATAGTGTAATAGGGGATGAAGTCTATCCACTTCTCCACAAAAACTGCTCAACAGAATTGAATGAACTTCTACATGTCTTTCGTAGGGACTCTAAACGTGTGCATTTCATAATTTTTTATGCAATTTCTTAATTTTGTCACTTCTACAGATGCTTGAACTTAGTTGAATTTGGTTCTATTCAGCCTGTTCGTCCCATACAACAGGGGGTGTACTTTATCCACTTCTCCTCAAAAACCACTGCACAAAACTCATTTAAGCTTACATATGTCTTTTAAAGAGACTCTAAAGGTGTGCATCTCATATTTTGTTTTTGTATTTTATATTTTTGTGTATGTTTAGAGACATTTGAACTTAGATAAATTTTGTTGAATTTCTCTCTGATGATAGTGAAATAGGGGATTAGGTCTATCCACTTCTCCACAAAACTGCTCAACAGAATTAATTAAGCTTATACGTGTGTTTCACTGGGACTCGAAAGGTGTGCATCTCATAGTTACATAGATGTTTATTGAACTTGTTCGTGAATTTTGTTCAATTATTGATCTTTATATGATAATAGGTTGTGTTATCTCACCCCTCAACACATTGTTTTTAGTGTTTTCAAGTACTTCAGTGGGACCCTGAATGTGTGAACTCTTCCTACAGCAGCGGGGGCATCTGTGTCCCTGGACACAATTTTTTCTTGTTTTTTCATAAGAATTGCTCAGTTTCAAATTAGCCATGTTTAACTGCAGCATGGTATCTCTGTGGGCTACCACTAAAACACAGCATCTAGTTTGTCCGCTTGTCGCTTAATGCCACACTCAGCAATGTTCCAGCTTCATGGCGGCGGTCTGTAAATAATCCAGTGATCAACAGCATGAGCATCATCAATCAACACAATCATGATACAATGACATGTGTCAACCAAGTCAGCAAGTCTGACCACCCAATCCTTTAGTCACCTCTTACAACATGTATTAGTCACCTCCTACAACATGTATTAGTCACCTCCTACAACATGTATTAGTCACCTCCTACAACATGTATTAGTCACCTCCTACAACATGTATTAGTCACCTCCTACAACATGTATTAGTCACCTCCTACAACATGTATTAGTCACCTCCTACAACATGTATTAGTCACCTCCTACAACATGTATTAGTCACCTCCTACAACATGTATTAGTCACCTCCTACAACATGTATTAGTCACCTCCTACAACATGTATTAGTCACCTCCTACAACATGTATTAGTCACCTCTTACAACATGTATTAGTCACCTCTTACAACATGTATTAGTCACCTCCTACAACATGTATTAGTCACCTCTTACAACATGTATTAGTCACCTCCTACAACATGTATTAGTCACCTCTTACAACATGTATTAGTCACCTCTTACAACATGTATTAGTCACCTCTTACAACATGTATTAGTCACCTCTTACAACATGTATTAGTCACCTCCTACAACATGTATTAGTCACCTCCTACAACATGTATTAGTCACCTCCTACAACATGTATTAGTCACCTCCTACAACATGTATTAGTCACCTCCTACAACATGTATTAGTCACCTCCTACAACATGTATTAGTCACCTCCTACAACATGTATGAGTTGCTGAAGAGCAATTCTAACTCTGTTCAAGAACAAGAAACTACACAAATGAATGAAGTCCCCAAACCTTCAACTTATGTCAATGCTGTTCAAGTTTATTTACTGCTTTGTGATCTATTGGATGTTAAAATAGAATGACTAGCTGTATGTGTAAACTTTTTAATACAATGCTTGTATCACACGACTTCTGTTTCATGTAAAGTTATATTTAGTAATGAAATAGAACTGATGTTACTGTGCATTCATGGTTTCGTTGTTTAGGTTGTTGCCATGGAGATAATGACTGCATCAGGGGAGATCCTTGAAATTTCTGCAGAGAAGAACAAAGAGTTATTTCCGGCAGCTACGCTGTCCTTGGGGAGTTTTGGCATTATCCTCACGGTGACGTTCCAGTGTGAACCCGCATACAACCTCCACCAGAAACAGTACCCAGCTAAACTAGACCAGGTAACAGTGAGTGAGTGAGGTTTGAGTGAGTGAGTGAGTGATCCTCACGGTGACGTTCCAGTGTGAACTCACGCACAATCTCCACCAGAAACAGTAGCCAGCTAAACTGGACCAGGTAACAGTGAGTGAGTGAGTGAGTTTTGAGTGAGTAAGTGAGTGAGTGAGTGATCGTCACGGTGACGTTCCAGTGTGAACTCATGCACAATCTCCACCAGAAACAGTAGCCAGCTAAACTGGACCAGGTAACAGTGAGTGAGTGAGTGAGTGAGTTTTGAGTGAGTGAGTTTTGAGTGAGTGAGTGAGTGAGTGAAGTTTTATGCCACTTTTAGTAATATTCCAGGAATATAATGATGAGGATCACCAGACACAGACTTCACACATAGTACCCATGTGGGGAATCGAACCAGACTCACTGATCTGTGATTTATTCCAGGTACTGGAGAATCTGAACACTTATGTCACGTCCTCCGACCACTTCCGATTCTTCTGGTTTCCTCACACTGATGACGTCGTCTGTTACCACGCAAACCGAACTAAAGAGGTCAGACTTGTTCATTTTTGTGGCATCTCCAATACACTTACGTTTACTGTAACACTGGGACAAATGGAGGGGGATATGCTTCTTTATTTTTGCCAAAAAGCTTGCTTGTCATGAAGTCTACAAAGTGCATGTTGATGTTTATCATGTTAAAATGTTAAGTGTCTCACATCATTCTAAGGACATATGACATGTCTGATTGGTCCGAATGTTTCAGGAGCCCCGTGTGAAGGGGAGCTGGTTCTGGGACATGTTGGTGGGCTACTACATTCTGCAGATCCTGTACCTGCTCAGGTAGTGACACAGATCCTTTACTGGGTCAGGTAGTGACACAGATCCTTTACTGGGTCAGGTAGTGACACAGGTCCTTTACTAGGTCAGGTAGTGACACAGATCCTTTACTGGGTCAGGTAGTGACACAGATCCTGTACTGGGTCAGGTAGTGACACAGATCCTTTACTGGGTCAGGTACTGACACAGATCCTTTACTGGGTCAGGTACTGACACAGATCCTTTACTGGGTCAGGTAGTGACACAGATCCTGTACTGGGTCAGGTAGTGACACAGATACTGGATCAGGTAGTGACACAGATCCTTGACTGGGTCAGGTAGTGATGCAGATACTTTAGTGGGTCAGGTGGTGACACAGATCCTGTACTGGGTCAGGTAGTGATGCAGATCCTTTACTAGGTCAGGTGGTGACACAAATCCTTTACTGGGTCAGGTAGTGACACAGATCCTTTACTGGGTCAGGTAGTGACACAGATCCTGTACTGGGTCAGGTAGTGACACAGATCCTGTACTGGGTCAGGTAGTGACGCAGATCCTGTACTGGGTCAGGTAATGACACAGATCCTTTACTGGGTCAGGTAGTGACACAAATCCTGTACTGGGTCAGGTAGTGACACAAATCCTTTACTAGGTCAGGTGGTGACACAGATCCTTTACTGGGTCAGGTAGTGACACAGATCCTTTAGTGGGTCAGGTAGTGACACAGATCCTTTAGTGGGTCAGGTAGTGACACAGATCCTGTAGTGGGTCAGGTAGTGAGAAAGATCCTTTACTGGGTCAGGTAGTGACACAGATCCTTTACTGGGTCAGGTAGTGACACAAATCCTTTACTAGGTCAGGTAGTGACACAGATCCTTTACTAGGTCAGGTGGTGACACAGATCCTGTACTGGGTCAGGTAGTGACACAGATCCTGTACTGGGTCAGGTAGTGACACAGATCCTTTACTGGGTCAGGTAGTGACACAAATCCTTTACTAGGTCAGGTAGTGACACAGATCCTTTACTAGGTCAGGTGGTGACACAGATCCTGTACTGGGTCAGGTGGGAAACACAGATCCTTTAGTGGGTCAGGTAGTGACACAGATCCTGTAGTGGGTCAGGTGGTGACACAGATCCTGTAGTGGGTCAGGTAGTGACACAGATCCTTTAGTGGGTCAGGTAGTGAGAAAGATCCTTTACTGGGTCAGGTACTGACACAGATCCTGTAGTGGGTCAGGTAGTGACACAGATCCTGTAGTGGGTCAGGTAGTGACACAGATCCTTTACTGGGTCAGGTAGTGACACAGATCCTTTACTAGGTCAGGTGGTGACACAGATCCTGTACTGGGTCAGGTAGTGACACAGATCCTTTAGTGGGTCAGGTAGTGAGAAAGATCCTTTACTGGGTCAGGTACTGACACATATCCTTTACTGGGTCAGGTACTGACACAGATCCTGTAGTGGGTCAGGTGGTGACACTGGTCCTTTACTGCGTCACGTAGAGACAAAGATCCTGTAGTGGGTCAGGTAGTGACAGAGGTCCTTTACTGGGTCAGGTAGTGACACAGATGCTGTACTGGGTCAGGTGGTGACATAAGCCCTCTGGTAGGTCAGGTGGTCTCATAGACTGGTACAAGACTGGTATTTTCACTGAACCTTTACTCTGTCAAGCAGTTGCATCCTTCAGATCCTGGTGGCTGCAGACATGCACAGCCCCGACATGCACCTCAACGATTTCGAACAGAGACATCATTCGATGTACAGACATGCACCTCAATGATTTCGACAGACATCATTCGATGTACAGCCCAGACATGCACCTTGTGGTTCTGGTACAGGCCAACTAAGAACGTCATTATATACCAATTTCATCACTCAATGTACAGCCACCTCAGAAACTCCCACCCAGTGGTTTATAAGCGTGTGCCCGTACGCGTAAGTCGTGACGCCGTTGGCAGTGATCCACCGTTTGGTGTCCATGGGCGACAGCGACGTCTTGTTGCTAAGCATTTGCTAAGCATTTGCTAAGCATTGCTAAGCATTGCTAAGCATTTGCTAAGCATTGCTAAGCATTTGCTAAGCATTTGCTAAGCATTTGCTAAGCATTGCTAAGCATTGCTAGGAGTTTACTGGGAAAGGATTGGGATTCCTGGTAGGATTGGGATTCCTTCTGAGGATTGGGATTCCTGGGAGGATTGGGATTCCTGGGAGAGGATAGGGATTCCTGGGAGGATTGGGATTCCTACGAGGATTGGGATTCCTGGGAGGATTGGGATTCCTGGGAGAGGATTGGGATTCCTAGGAGGATTGGGATTCCTGGGAGAGGATAGGGATTCCTGGGAGGATTGGGATTCCTACGAGGATTGGGATTCCTGGGAGGATTGGGATTCCTGGGAGAGGATTGGGATTCCTGGGAGGATTGGGATTCCTGGGAGAGGATTGGGATTCCTGGGAGAGGATTGAGATTCCCATATAGGTATATAGGAAGTATGGGTATATATATGCCTAGGAAAAACAACCATGCCCCCAAAAAGAGATTTGCCTTCGGACAAGATCCAAGAAATACGCTCCCTTCAAGGGGTGCTCCCAGCAAGTGAGGTGAAAAAGCGCTTCGGTATTGGGTCCACAAGATTCTACGACATATGGCGAGATCCGATCGAGGAAACCATACCGCCAGCCGAAGAAGTATCGTTGCCGGTCGACGAACCACAAAAGGTGACTCGGGATAGATCGAAAGTAGCAATACCCGGTAGTACGTTACCAACCATCCAGGACTTCTTCGATCTCCTGGGGAGTCTTGAGACTCGTGTGGAGCAAACCGCGAATACATCGTCGACTACCACGAATTTGTTGGTCGACATCCTGTCGAGGTTGGACAAGGATGATGACAATGACGAAGTCCTGGAAGAAATAGAAGAGGAACAAGAAGACACCCGTCTGGGTATCCAGAAGGTGCGGCAGATGGTAGAATCAGCCCAAAGGTTAACCTATGTTTCGATAGCTGCTGTATTACTCTGGAAGGTCATCCACAAGACCTGGAAGCATAGCAAACCAGTTTCCCCATTCCACCCACCGGCCGACAAGAAGGCAGAAACACCCAAGCCCCGGGACCCCTTCCACATGTCGTAACATTCATTTAGACATTTGACTTCGCATAAGGTATACAACATGTGGCCCGTGGGAACTCATTATTGCAAATGGGTATTGCTCGGCAAGCCCACAACCTGCGGCAAATGCTGTATGGCTGAATATTGCCACTCGCATGCCCACTGTGTGAGAAAGGGTCATGTCAATTACGTATGCAAAGTATGCGGTATAGGGGTCAAAGGACATTATGGGCTGTGCAAAGACCACGGAAGGGACGTAGTTCGAAACCAACTTATTTACGACAAGAAGAAAGACTACCTCAATGAACGTTACCGGCTGCTCAGGATGAAAGTTTAAGGGGCACTTCATTTTTTGAAGGCTGACAGGTTTATCGGCACATTGAAAACACCCTATTAGACATTTGGTTCCGCATAAGGTATACACCATGACTACCGGCGGCGAACTCAAAGCTCTCGCCAAAAGTCGTGGACTGAGGGGTTATTCCCGCATGAGGAAACTCCAACTGCTCACCTTGCTCGATATGAAATATACCAAACCCCCTACCGTGCGAGACCTCAAACTCCAAGCTAAAGAACGGGGATTGAAGGGTTATTCCCGCATGAGAAGAGCCGAGCTGATCACCTTGCTGGAAGACACCAGGCCAGTCGAGTTGAGATTTGTTCCAACGGAGCAGGCCGTGGGTAAGTATATCAGGGCTGGAAAATGATGGTTGATTCCAATATTGATACCGATACAGTCAAACCCCCCATCGCAAGTAAACTCCGCGAAGAACTAGGCGACTTGAAAAGCATCAAGTACCAACTAACGATGAAAATGGAGCTCCAAAAACAGAATATGGACGGCAGTACTGAGTCCGTTGTACCTTATTTCAGAGGCAAACAGGAAGCCCTAACCCAACCAGAATTGATTGAATCCTCCATCGACGCATCGTTGCAGAAAATACAAGAGTCGTTGGAGAGATATACCCACATGGGCTCTGGATGGGTGGTAGATAAAATCAACACCGTTTATATCGACATAGCAAACTACATGCCGCTCAGAGGTGGGTCGCACATACCGGTGCCTAAGCATTTCAAGGCCAAAAAGGCCCTCGTTAACCCCAAAACCCAAGGCGACGATGTTAACGATTACTGCGATGGTGGCGGTCATAGCTGCTACGCATGAACCAATGGGTAATCCGGGCAGGCATTCCAGCTATCCATCGATCGAAGAATCCGGGTTCGACTTCATGGGTGTAGAACGCTTAACACCCATCTCCTACTGGGCGCAATTCGAAAAGCAAAACAAGGTGGCCGTCAACGTGTTTGGCCACGAAGGCGACAAAACCATCGTGCATAGGATAAGCCCTGTTGGTGATAAAACCGTGCGTCGAACCAATATATTCCTCATCGAAAAAAACGGTCAGTATCACTACACGGCGATAAAAAATCTGAGCCGGCTGTTGCACGATCAATCGATGCACAGAGAAAAGAAACACTTCTGCGAACGATGTCTGCACGGCTTCACGCGAGCCAACCTGCTGCAAGCGCACCAGGGGGATTGCCTAGGTGTAGGAGAGACGGCGATCCGAATTGACATGCCTAAGGAAGGCGACAACATCTTGAAATTCACCAACCACAAACATCAGATGCCTGTGCCTTACATGATCTACGCAGACTTCGAAGCCCTCATCAAACGGGTCGACCACGACGTGCCCAACACTGAGCAAAGTTTTACGCGCAAGACCCAAGAACACCAAGCCTGCAGGTTCGGGTACGTGGTCGTCCGATGCGATGGACAAAGGAACGCTCCAGTCATCTACCGAGGTCCTAGTGCGACCGAACGATTCCTGATGTGTTTGCAGCAGGAAGAGAAAATCATTAGGAAAAGGCTGTACACCGCCGCTCCCATGCGCATGACGCCGAAGGACCAAGTCGCTCACAAGCGTGCTGAGAATTGCAACGTATGCCAGGGACCGCTGAACGGGGATGTCGTGAGAGGGTGCAGGCTAAAACGGAACCACAGCAAAACGGCACCAGGCGAAAACGGCACCATTTGGACATAACGGAACCTCGACTTGGCGAAAACGGCTACAAATCTTATGGTGAAAACGGCACCAAATAAAATCCTAATTATTGGGAACATCTTATTTGTCATTAGATAATCTGAATACAGAATTTCGGAAGCCGTCTCCTCTGTCAACAGTGATTGGAAAGTTTGTGTTAGCTGATAATCGGATTCCAGTATGTTTAGATAATGAATGAGTCTGACTGATAATCGGCTTGTAGAATGTTTCGATAGTCAAAACATCTACTGTGCCGAGAGTGATTGGAAAAGCCTGTAAATTTAGCATGAAAACATCACAACCTTTGATGTTTTAAGTACATTTACTCAACTCAAATCGCCCCAACTCAGTGTCAAAATGAAACTGTATTTAAAACGCAAGAATGTACACATTACATATCATTCATCACAATGCCTCACCACTGTGTTGTATGCGATAAGACTGCCAGGAAGAATCAACATGCCGTATCTTGTGACGAGTGTGATTTATGGACTCATCGTGTTTGTGGTACCGGCCTGTCTGTACCAAGATGTGCGATGATCCACGGACCAATCGTTTAGTGCAATTCATGAAGACATTCGGCCAAATAAGCATCCGGCCAAATATGGACGTGTGAACATGTGTTATGTTGACGGTTTGTTATCGTCTTTATTATAATCTTGTTATTTTAATGAAATCGGTGATTGAGTGAGTTATGATTTTACGCCGCTTTTAGCAATATTCCAGCTATATCGCGTGTTATAAGCTTGCTTATGTTGAAATGAAATAAAAACCATAAGTCAACGTCATACTGTGTTTTTTATATGTTGAGTCTAATGTTATAATTAAACGAACTAAAACATAAAAGTCAACATCATACTGTGTTTTGTATATGGTACCGTTTTAGCTCAGAAATCAGTAGCCGTTTTCGCCAATACGGTGCCGTTTTCGCCAAACGATTTGGGTGCCGTTCTGCTGTGGTTCCGTTTTAGCTATAACCCGTCGTGAGAGATCACTGCCACATCACCGGCCGGTACCAAGGTGCCGCCCATAACGCGTGCAACCTCCAGCTTAGAATCAACCCTAAAACAATCAACATCCCCGTGGTCTTCCACAATCTGAGAGGGTACGATGCCCACCTGATCATGCAGGCCATCTCGAAGGTCGGTGTTGATATCAAGTGCATTCCCAACAACATGGAAAAATACATCTCGTTCTCGCTCAACGGTCTGAGATTCATTGACAGCGCTCAGTTCCTCCTGTCATCGATCGATAGTTTGGTCAAAGCCAATGACACCTTCCCCATCACTGATCGATACACCGACGTCGAGACTCAGCCCCTGTTGATGAGGAAGGGTGTGTACCCATACGAGTACATGGATGATTGGTCTAAGTTCGACGAGACCCTATTACCTCCCATCGGTCGATTTTACAGCAGCCTGACTGAATCCCATATCTCCCAAGACGATTACGGCCACGCGCAGAACGTGTGGGAGAAACTGGGATGTAAGAATCTGGGTGACTACCACGATCTGTACTTGAGAACGGAAGTGCTCCTGCTAGCCAATGTGTTCGAGACGTTTAGGAGGACGTGTTTGAAACAGTATCAACTCGACCCTGCATGGTACTACACCAGCCCTGGTCTCTCTCGTGGGATGCGCTCTTGAAGAAAACCGGAGTTAAGCTGGAATTGCTCACGGATTACGACATGCACCTGTTCATTGAGAAAGGATTGCGAGGCGGGATCTCCATGGCTGCCAAACGGTACGCAAGAGCCAACAATAAGTACGTGGAAGGCTACAACTCTAGCAAGCCCACCAATCATCTCCTCTATCTCGACGCCAGCAACCTGTATGGCTGGGCTATGAGTCAGTCTCTGCCTACGGGTGGGTTTGAGTGGTTGGACGATGAGATCGATATCACGAGCATCGCGCCGGATTCGGGGAAGGGTTACGTCCTCGAAGTGAATCTGGAGTATCCCGAGGCATTACACACTACCCACAACAGCTACCCGCTGGCCCCCGAACGGTTGATGGTCTGCCGAGACTGGATGTCCGACTATCAGCGGGACTTGTTGGGTGAGAACACCCTGGCTTGGGTGGAAAAACTCGTCCCGAACTTGATGAATAAGACCAAGTACGTCGTGCACTATCGCAACCTGCAGCTGTACGTATCGTTGGGTATGAAGCTGACCAAAATTCATAGGGTGCTGAAGTTTGCCCAAAGTCCTTGGATGGAGCCCTACATCAGAATGAACACGGACCTGCGAAAGCTGGCCACCAGTGACTTCGAGAAGAACTTGTATAAGCTCATGAACAACTCGGTGTTTGGTAAGACGATGGAGAACCTGAGAAAACGGGTGACTGTCAAACTCGTGCGATCACACCAGGAGGAAAAACTCAGGAAACTGATCGCTAGCCCGGCCTTAAACCGAAGCAAGCTATTCGATAACAACTTGGCGGCGCTGAACATGAACAAAAGTCACATCAAGCTCAACCGACCCGTCTACGTGGGGATGAGCATTCTCGACCTATCCAAACATCTCATGTATGATTTCTACTACAACCAGCTCAAGAAGCAATGCGGTGATCGATGCGGGCTGCTGTACACGGACACGGATTCCTTGTTGCTGGATATACACACCGAGGACGTGTACGAGGACATGGCAAAACACATACACCTGTACGACACCAGCGATTACCCCAAGGACCATGCCCTACACAGCACGATCAACAAAAAGGTCCTCGGCAAGATGAAGGACGAATGTGCGGGCACACCCATCGCTGAATACGTCGGCTTGAGGCCTAAGATGTACTCCATCTTGAAAGCTGACAAGGGTGAGATCCGAAAGGCAAAGGGGGTCAAGAAATACGTGGTGAAACAACACATCAAGCACGCCCTCTTCAAACAAGCTCTGTTCAAGAATAAGACGTTCAAACATCGAATGAATGCGTTGAGAAGCGACAAACACAACATCTACGGCATCACCCTCAACAAGACGTCGCTGTCGCCCATTGACACCAAACGGTAGATCGCTGCCGACGGCGTCACGACTTACGCGTACGGGCACACGCTTATAAACCACTGGGTGGGAGTTTCTGAGGTGGCTGTACATTGAGTGATGAAATTGGTATATAATGACGTTCTTATTTGGCCTGTACCAGAACCACAAGGTGCATGTCTGGGCTGTACATCGAATGATGTCTCTCGAAATCATTGAGGTGCATGTCTGTACATCGAATGATGTCTCTCGAAATCGTTGAGGTGCATGGGCTGTACATCGAATGATGTCTCTCGAAATCATTGAGGTGCAAGTCTGGGCTGGACATTGAATGGTGTCTCTGCTCGAAATCGTTGAGGTGCATGTCGGGGGTGTATATCGAATGATGTCTCTGCTCGAAATCATTGAGGTGCATGTTGGGGGTGTACATCGAATGATGTCTCTGCTCGAAATCATTGAGGTGCATGGGCTGTACATTAAATGATGTCTCTGCTCGAAATCATTGAGGTACATGTCGGGGGTGTACATCGAATGATGTCTCTGCTCGAAATCATGGAGGTGCATGGGCTGTGCATTAAATGATGTCTCTGCTCGAAATCGTTGAGGTACATGTCGGGGTCTGGGCTGTACATCGAATGATGTCTCTCGAAATCGTTGAGGTGCAGGTCTGGGCTGTACATCAAATGATGTCTCTGTTCGAAATCGTTGAGGTGCATGTCGGGGGTCTGGGCTGTACATCGAATGATGTCTCTGCTCGAAATCGTTGATTTATACTTGGGGGCTGGGAGCGGAATTGGCATATAATGATGCTCTTAGTTGGCCTGTAACAGAACCACAAACACCCCTGGGGGGTTTGTGAGGTGCATGTCGGGGGTGTGGGATGTACATTGAATGATGTCTCTGCTCAAAATCGTTAATTTATACTGGGGGCTGGAAGTGGAATTGGCATATAATGGCGCTCTAAGTTGGCCTGTCACAGAATCCCCATTCTATATACTACTTCGTAAGAGGTGACTAACGGGATCGGGTGGTCAGGCTTGTTGACACATGTCATGGGTTCCCAGTGTTGCGTAGATCGATGCTCATGCTGTTGATCACTGGATTGTCTGGTCCAGACTCGATTATTTACAGACCGCCGCCATAAAGCTGGAATATTGCTGAGGGCAGCGTAAAACTAAACTCACTCACATGGATCCTGGCTATGGATTCAAACTCAGTTTACTCAAACTGTCTTCATTACAGCACATTCCTGTCCTGCCTCGTACCGTACATCAACCGCTTCTTCTACCACACCCTATACTCATCCTGCGCTGAGAAGATCGACAGGTCGGACAAGATATTCAACTTCAACTGCCTCTTCAAGCAGTACGTCATGGAATGGGCCATACCCAGGTACAGCTGCACTCATTCCCTCATTACGATTGACGACATGCTCCCAGTTTCCCCTGTGTATCATGTGATGTTACAGATTGGTAGATTAAAATATAGAATTGTCTCATCTTTCTGTCAAATAACTGGGCTGTGATTAGCGGTGGCCCTGGTGTGGTCCTGTAGGAATTGTGTCCCTTAAGGACCAGTATCTGTATGTAAGAGTTATGCCCCTTGCTAGGATCTTTTAGAACTACTTCCCTTGGTGCTTGGATCTACTGTTTGTGGGTTCTGCTTGCTAACAATTTTTGGTTTCACGAGGTGACACTAACATCATCACGACTAGCAGCCTGCTCAACTTCAGTCAATACTAAAATTCTGTTGCAATAAATATCATTCATACAGCTGAAACTGCAGGAACTATGATTATGATGTTGTCAGAGACAAAACGGCCGTTGTGCTGTTTGAGCTGCGAAACTGGATTCTGCAGAGCAGGTTCCCGGCCCACTTCCCCGTGGAGGTCCGCTTTGTGAAGGGAGATAATATCTATCTGAGTCCGGTTCATGGCTGGGACGCCTGCTACATCAACATCATCATGTACAGGTAATTACACACCTGGATATACAGGGGGAGAGACATCTTGATATATAGTTAAGAACACCTTTATATACAGGTAGAGAACAATTTGATTTACAGATAGAGAACACCTGGATATACAAGTAGAAAACACCTGGATATATTGGTAGAAACCACCTGGATATACAGGTAGAAAAAACCTTGATATACAGGTAGGAAACACCTGGATATACAGGTAGAAAACACCTTGATATATTGATACTAGCAGCTATAACACCTACCAATACAGGTGATCTTGTACACCATAATATACCGTTATATCACAAAACATTGACATAAAAGTGATAAAAAACCCTTGATATTCTTTGAGTGGAATATCTTTGATGAATTTCCATTGGTTTGGTTTATCTCTAGTCTAATCTATGCAGTATAATGAACATGAATCAGCATAAAAACTCTGTTCATTAATCATATTAACCCGATCAACAACCAGTGTTCATTGTGTTGTAGACCTTTCAACAAGTTTGTCCCGAACGACAAATATTGGTCAGCATTCCAGAAGATAGTCATGGAGGCTGGAGGCCGACCTCACTGGGCTAAGGTGAGATTTTCTTGTCTTAAAAACACATAAATGTAAACTGAAAATTAACATGTAAAGTCACTTGCGAATATGTTTCATGAAATAATTATCAATTGTTGTTGCCTGGATTTCAACATTTGTATCATGTTGTGATTGATTTTGGCACAACTATCGAGATATGGACTTGGGTGCCATAACCTTATCTCATACAGTTTTTAATCTTAGGCTTTTGATAAGGTAGTGTATAAAACATAACCCGTCCCACCATCCTTGACTGTCTATTTTTGTGAAGGACGGTCTATGAAATATAAGTAAGGCTGTCCTTTGGTCGGGGGAAATATTACAAAAATATACTTAACTTTGTTTGAACTTCATCTTATCAATTATTTTGTCATTGTTTTGGGGTCACTTTTTTGGACAGCCAGTCCTTGGACAGGCCTTATTTCAAAACTATTTTATACATTGGGTAAGGTTGATGTGCTGTTGCAGGAATCTACCTGACGTGAAGGTATATATTTAAGGTTGTTCCTGCCTGATCTTAGTGTTTTGTTAAAGTTATCTTAAGGTTAACCTTAGTCACTAAGATCAAATAAGTAAAGGTTGTTTTTTACAAGGGCACCCTAAGTACACTTAGGCATGTGGTAGCCAATTGGTTGAATGTTCACAACAAAGACCTGGGTTTAGTTTTCACATGGGCACAATGTGTGAAGCCTGTCTCTGGTATTCCCTGCTGTGACGTTGTTGGTTCTTCTCTAAAAGAGATCTCAAACTCACTCTTTAAACTTAAAACAAAATGATGTTTGTGTTTATCATGAAACAATTGCCATACCCAAACACCTGGGAAATATGAAATTTTCAATCAGCAATTTTGAATTTTTTAATATAATTTGTGGAATCAACTTAAGCATTTACACGGTTTTGAAAAAGAATATGTTCAAAAAATAGAGCACAACAGTTTGGACATTGCCTTTTTCAGTAGTTCAGCATGATCAGCGTTCTAGAAGTTAGTGATTCAATAATGCACCATACGCCTTTATAGATAGCAACTTCTTGTTTATTGTTTAGAGTGACATTTTGATAAAAGAATTTACACTGAAACCTCTCTCCATGCAATAAACTCCAACTCCATAATAACTTGTTATCCATAACATCGTATTCTTAATTTGGGAAACATTCAGAAAACCTTTTAGACTTGTCTGCTCAATCTGAAATGGTAATTTGATAAGCACTGTTTGTATGGTGAACAGGGGCGGTGGGGTAACCTAGTGGTTAAAACGTTGGCTCGTCATGCCGAAGACCCGGGTTCGAATCCCCACATGGGTACAATGTCAAGCCCATTTCTGGTGTCCCCAACCGTGATGTTGCTGGAATATTGCTAAAAGCGGCGTAAAACCAAAACTCAGTCAGTCAGTCAGTGTATGGTGAACATGAAACGTTTGCATTCTTCCTGTAATGTGAGCTACAGTGCCTTGGCACTATATGTTGTTGTTGCAATTACAGGACCACAAGCTTGGACGAGAAGATTTCCTGAAGCTCTACCCAAAGTTTGAGACTTTTTGTAAAATCAGAGAAAGTTTGGATCCTAATGGAATGTTCTTGAACTCAAATATGGAACGTGTCTTTGGGCAAAGCCCCTCATTCACAAAAATTGTTTAATTTATGTATGAATTTTTATTGATGATAAATATCTTTAAGTTTATTTTAGCTCTGCTGTAAAGACTGGTAAAGTTACTATGTCAAGTGTAGTTCTACGATAGTGATTGGTAAACTTACGATGTAAAAGGTAACTCTACAATAATGGTTGGTGAACTTACTATGTAAGCTGTAGCTCTACCATAAAGATTGGTAAACTTACAATGCCATGTGTAGCTCTACCATAAATATTTGTAAATTTATGTGACGAGTAGCTCTACCAAAAAATGGCAAACTTACTATGTCATGTGTAGTTCTACCATAAAGATTGGCAAATCCACGATGCCATGTGTAGCCCTACCATAAAGATTGGCAAATCTACGATGTCATGTGTAGCCCTACCATAAAGATAGGCAAATCTATGATGTCATGTGTAGCCCTGCCATAAACATTAGTAATCTTATGATGTCAAGTCTATAGTCCGTTTGGCTCAAAAGCGGACCCGATGAATTGCAATCAAACTATCATTAAAATATTTTGACACAGTTCACTGTTTGTTACGAGGGAGGAGTGCAGAGAAAGGGACAGCCAGGTGTTCGAGAAGCACGTTCACAGGCAAAGTTATATATTCATTAACCTGTGCTGTGCCGTCTCCATCCATTTTCGAACACCTGGCTGTCCCTTTCTTTGCACTCCTCCCTCGTAACAAATAGTGAACTGTGTCAATATTTTAATGATAGTATGTTAAACAACTTTTTTAATTTTAGGACAAAAATTCTGCAAAAAAATCACGGAGTGGGTATGATGTTTTGATTATGATCAGCGTTTCATTGAGTATTTTATGTTTATTAGTTTTCGAGTTAGATTGCAATTCATCCGTCCGATTTGGAGCCAAACGGACTATAGCTGTACAGTAGAAATTGGTAAACCTGACCATGTTGATTGTAGCTCTACAATAAAGATCGGTAAACTTACGATGATTGTATCTCTACAATTAACATTAAATAAGGTAAGATAATTCTTTATTGTCCCAAGGGAAATTTGTTTTGCATCATATGTTCTCCAGTTTTTCATTCATATAGCAGCCATACATAACATTGCAATTGGTAATCATGAAATAATCAGGATATAAATACATCAATTTAGTACACAAACATAGATATTGAATAGAATTTTGACAATTAAAACACAAGTCATTCACAGAATTTGTTGTTAATGCATCTAATACTAGCTGGAACAAATGAGTGGCGAACCCTGCTTGTTCTAAACGTCGGCATACGCAGCCTGCGTCCAGAAGGTAATGATGAATATTCCAAGAGAGTATGAGAGTTGGATCACTTTTTTTTTTACTTGCTTTTTTGAAATTTGCTACTCATAACAACTGCCGATACTTTTGATAGGAAGCCGAATAATTTTATTCGCAGTGTTTACGATTTTTGAAAGTTTGTTTTTATTCTGAACAGACAGGTTCCCAAACCAACTCAAGAAATTAAAGTTTATGACACTTTGAATAAAGGTTTTGAAAAATAACATCATGATAGTTTGGTTGATTTTAAAATGTTTCAACTTCCACAAAAAATGTAAGCATTGCTGTCCTGTTTTATATATTTTCTCAGTGTTTGCATTTCAGGAGAGTTTTGAATCTAAGACAGTACCCAAATATTTGTATTCAGTTACTCTTTCGATTTCATTATCTTCAATAGTTACAGCATTTATTGTTGACTTAGCTTTTCTAAAATCTATGATCATTTCTTTGGTTTTTTGCACATTCAAAAATAAAAAAAATGATTTACACCATTCTACAAATTTAGAAATTTCAGCTCTGTAAATAAAATCTGATTCCCTAACAAGGCCTACCAATGCAGCAGCATCCGCGAATTTGACTGTAAAGTATGTTTCTGTGTTGGATACACAGTCATTGGTGTAGAATATAAACAAACTTGGTGAAATGACGCAACCTTGTGGAGTGCCAGTTGATGTGTTTACAATTGATGATTTCACATTATTAACCTGTACAAATTGTTGTCTGTTAGCTAGAAATGAATTAATCCATTTGATGATGTTAGAATTAACATTCATTTTGAAAAGTTTATCAATTAACAAATGAGGTTGAATAGTATTATAGGCAGATGAAAAATCAACAAACATTATTCTCACATATGTACCCTAGTTTTCTAAATGCTTATAGACATTGTTTAACAGAGTGATTGTTGCATCATCTACCCCACGCCTTGTTCTGTATGCAAATTGTAATGGGTCAAGAACATGGCTGACTTCTTTCAACAATGAGATCTTAACAAATCGTTCCAAACATTTCATGGCAATAGAGGTTAGGGCCACTGGTCTGAAGTCTTTAATAACAGAGGGATTTTTCTTTTATGGCAATGGAATAGTTTTAGAGGTTTTCCAAAGAATGGGAACACTATGAGAATTAATTGATATCTGAAATAGCTTTTGAAAAATAACAGCCAGTTGCACTCTACATTCCTTAAGAACAATCCCTAGCAAGTTATCAGACCCACCACATTTATGTGGATTTATCTTAGCGAATGAACTGATCCGTCCTCTGTCCATATATAGGCGAATTGAACTCGTCTGTGAAGGGAGTGGTAGGTTCCATTCTAAACGGAAACAAATATACCATTTACCAGGTAGGTAAATGTTTACGAACGATTTGCCGCACAAATAGGGATAGGTAGGGATGTATTTTTACAAGGGTTTCTGATTTATATGTTACACCATAAATCTGAGTGCGGGTTTGAAAAATAAACCAATCAAACCAATCAACAAACTCAGCGTTCAGTTCGACCACGAGTGACAACTCCTAGTGAGGATACAGCCCATTTCATAACCACAAGACTTTATCCGTTCATGTCAAGTGTGGCTTCCATTTCGTTTGTCCAACAGACCGAAAACCTAAAAACGATCGGTATAGAGCCATATCCAATAGACGTCCGATCCTATCCCCAGGTTATATAGCAGCACGGCCATCTTGATGTCCAGCTCGACGTTATGCGTCCACTGTTCGGACGAAAGTCGATTTTTTCTAAGGCCGGTGGTTAAAGCGTTCGCTCGCCGCTCCGAAGACCCGGGTTCGATTCCCCACATGGGTAAAATGTGTGAAGCAAATTTCTGGGGTTCCCCGCCGTGATATTGCTGGAATATTGCTAAAAGCGGCGTAAAACCATACTCGCAATTTCTTTTGTTCACGACTGATGGTGCAGCTCTGCAACAGAATATCTTGGAGCAAGTACCATTTGGCCGGGGTTCATAGATGCTGCAGGGGTACTGTAAACTTGACCTTGACAAAATGTCAATGGACAACAGTACATCAGTGATATCCGAGGCAGGGTTTCTGTAACACAGTTCGATGACCACATTTCGATGTCATTCGGGACGACAATGCAAGGCCAAATCATGCCTAATGAGGGGATTTCTTGCGTCAAAAGCAACCCTACCTTGGCCCACCAGGATTCCATATCTCCCATTGGACATGTTTGGGACATTATGGATAGCCGAATACGAGATAATTCCAGTATCAAATGTATTGGAACAAGCCGTCCATCAAGAATATAACGCAGTACGTCAACGTCAAATTCAACGTCTGATACATTCAATGGAGGAAGGGGGAAGGCGTTTTTGCAGTTGGCGGAGGGTTACACGTAATGTTGACTGACTTTATGGTCGGTTTTTCATGCTTATGAGATTTCTTGAGAATTGTATGCCAGAATTTCAAGGTGATCGCAATTATTAACGTCATACGACCAGAATAAGTCAATTCCATGCCTTTTTTGCTTCTCTGAATAAACAGCAGCTTTTCGTTCTTTTAGTGGTTAGATTCGCCACTTATTTTATTGTTTATTGAGGGTAAATGTATCCAGATAATAGGTAAAAGTGACTCTTAGATAGGTTCCTTTGCAAACCGAAGTTAATGGTCACATATTAAAACTATGAAAAATATCGGTGTTGGGATACTTTTACTATGTGTATATATTCAAAAACGTTTTCAATTTTGAGAATAAAAATATAATAACCCTAAAAACTGTTTCAACTGATCAAGTTTCTTACAATGCAAATATCATTTGCGACGTGATACCATACTGACTTGTGGTCACGAAGCGCACGTAGTATCACCAACAATGGAAAATGCACCGATTTATGGTGTAAAATCACTCGTATGCTCCAAAAATGAGTGAGTGAGTGAGTGAGTTTAGTTTTACGCCGCACTCAGCAATATTCCAGCTATATGACAGCGGTCTGTAAATAATCGAGTCTGGACCAGGCAATCTAGTGATTAACATCATGAGCATCGATCTACGCAGTTGGGATACGATGACATGTGTCAACAAAGTCAGCGAGTCTGTCCACCGATCCCAATGCTCCAAAAGCCTTGATGAGGTGGTTGTATCGTCCGCTAATAGTCATTGATTACCTGACCAAGGAGAAATGACCTAGGAATGAATCTTAATAATAAACTCAGGAGCAAAGGAATCGTTGAAAACTAGTATTGAAACGTCCTATAATCATTCTATATATCATGTTTCCAGTTGTGTGTTTTTATAACGATCTTGCGGGCATGCTTTCGAGTTATTACGTGTGTTTCCAGACTCGTCGGTTAATACTGTGTATACCCAATGCAGGTAGGAATCCACGACTCTCCTGGCGTAGGAGGAAAAATGAGTTGTACGTAATGGACTTTTATTCATCTAATTCAACGTGTTTTGAAGAGTGAGTGGGTTTTGTTTTACGCCGCACTCAGCAATATTCCAGCCATAGCGGTCTGTAAATAATCGAGTCTGGACCAGACAATCCAGTGATCAATAGCATGAGCATCGATCTGCGCAATTGGGAACCGATGACATGTCAACCAAGTCAGCGAGCCTGACCACCCGATCCCGTTAGTCGCCTCTTACAAGCATGGTTACTGAAGATCAATTCTAACCCGGACCTTCACGGGTAAGTATGACCCTAACGAAAACATCGGAGACACCAGGATTGGAACCCATTCCGTCTACTCCAAGAAGACTCGTCCCCCTCTCGATGATTTTTATGTGCGAAAATACGACAAACCAACCAGACTGCGTGTAAGGTGATTTGATAATATTAATTCCGATTACTTAAATCGGTTATGGCGGTATGTAATTTTTTGAAAATTCGTGAAAAAAATATATCGTCATTTTGACGTTATAAAGAACATAACTAACATAATTAGTTGCCTAATGTGAAGTTTTTAATAAGGACAGGCGCATGAACGGCGAGAGATGCAAACACGCACGTGCGTTTGTTTACATAACGGCTATCAGGTTTCCAGTTGTTTCTTATAACGATCTTGCGGGCATGCTTTCGAGGTTTTACGTGCGTTTCCAGACATCTGGGTAATGTAATTATAAATAGCTATGCGTTTCAAAACAATATCTTCATTTATCACAAATCAACTTTTATCTTAAACACCGTGTTTACATTTCACTTCTCTGTGGATATTTCAACCTGACGGTCGTTCATACTAATATTGTTTCAGCGTATTCATTTTGAATTTCACCAGGTGTATGGCATCGAGGTTAAACATGCACTCT